TAAGCCTCAAACCAATTAGATTTTCATCTTTTGATCCATCATTCCCTTTTCTCTTAAATCCAACAGAAAACCCTAAGAAAAAAATCAAAGTTGAAGTCTCCATTAAATATTCTCTCAATCTTTGTCAAGATTATTTCAATCTTTTTCAAGATTCTTCTTCAATGTAAATCTCTCTCCAAGAATTTCATTATTCCAACTAAAAATCCTTCATACAATTATGAATCAATAATGAAAATCATAATTCTTGGTCATAGAGATTTCAAGAAACTAATTCAAGAATCTCAAGAAAGGTTTTATTGATTGCTTACTTTCAAGATTGGGTTTCAAGACTTCTAATGAAGATTCTTCAAGAACCTTGTTCTTCTAGGTATGTAAGGCTATCATAGTGGTGGACTAGTTCATCCTAACACACTACATCTATTTTTAGATCAGTAAAAGAGTAATCTGGGATTCTTTCCCTAGATTTTAGTATACATGAGATAAGTTGATTTTTAGTTCTTGAGTTCATGTTTCTTTTAAAAACTATATTCCTAATCATTGAGTTTCTATGTTGTTATTGAGATCGTAGAGTTGATTTGTTCATGTCTATATTTCAGCATGAACCCTATTTTGTACATTCAACGATAGCTCTAGGGTTCTCATGAAAAGAATGCCATAAGAATCGAATCATGGTCCTTCATTACATGCTTATACGCATGAAAGGAATGCCACTAGCCTATCGATTCATGGTACATTGACTCATTAAGAAAGGAATGCCACTAGCTTATTGATTCTAGAGTCTTCATTACATTAGATCACGTATGAAAAGAATGCCTAAAGCCCATCAATTCATAACTATCAAGTCAATAAACATTCATCACTCATATATGAAAGGAATGTCATAGCCTATCGATTTTTATTCATCAAGTCAAGACACATTCATTATTCAAGAAAATGATGCATGAGTCTACCAATTCTAGATTCAACATTCACTATAGAAATCCTTAACATTCCATTCACAAGTACGATATCATGATAATACTTTAATTCATTAAACTATGCCTTTGAGGCCATGATCACAATATACAAAGAAATTAAACACCTCCACCTTTCAAGTGGATCAACATCACTAACACAATTCTACTACAATAAGTAATTAGGTCAAACTTACCCTTCCAAGGCTATAACCACAAGTCCTCAATTCACCAACAATTCACCATAATTAAGTATAGATAATGATACAATTCAATAATCTACATCAATCTAAGCACAAATCCACCATCACCCATTCATAATCAAACTAACCCACTTCATAAATCATAAATTAGAATTGAGAAGAATCATGGGTCCATGGAGTAAAATCATCAATTAAACATCAATACAATCAATATATGACAATAGAAACCATTTGAATTTATTTGGAGAAAGAACCCATGAGATTGAGTAAAACCCTTGATTTTTCATGAACTTTGAAACTTTGAAAACTTATTCGAAATTGACTCTAGGGTGATAACTAACCCTAGATGAAGGATCACCATACCTTTACTAAGATTCCCCAAGAAATTTGATGAAGAAAGACTTGACTCCAAACCCTAGCTCCCACTTCTTCTTCTTTCTTGAGTTACAAAGAGAAATATTGAGAGAAGAAGAACTTTGGGGTTTTGATTTGGGTCTTTTGATTAATGAGGGGAAATAGGTGTTTAAAGACTTAAAACTATATATATAATATCTATTCAGAACGACCCCACATCAATACAACTTAAATAAGAATTTACCAAAAACACCCTCAGTTAGACAGCCCCGTCAGTGACCAAGGTCACTTGTACAGACCCTGAAGGGGGACCACGGCCCGCGGTCCCTAGGAAGTAGCTCCCTCGACCTTGCTAAACCTCCACATGGCCAAGTAATCTTCACGGCCACTTCTACGGGCCGTGGTCAAGACCACTGTCCGCGAAGTGGTTTGTGGAACTTGGGCAGTAGCTTGGCCAAGTTGCCTTGCTTGCCATGCCACCAAGTGACCTTCATAGCCACTTCTACGGACCGTGGTCAAGACCACTGACTGTGAGAAGTGGTCCGTGGTCATGAGGCAGTTCTTAGCCATGGTTTTGCAGCCTTGGCCTTTAGCTTAGGCTTCACCCCCTTGGCTTGGCACAAGCCCTTGCAACCCTTAATCAATCATCAAAAGGGTTTTTCAACTACGGAGTCTAACACATGCCTTGATGTTGACTCATAAACCAAAGTTAGGGACAACATAACACAACATTAAACCTCATACCAAACTCAAACACACACACGTTAGGCTCTAGTTTAACCTATCATTTTCCGAGTCGTTACATTATCTCCCATACACTACAAGAAAAACAGCCTCTAAGGAAGGGAAATATGGTCCTAAAAAATTCAAATCTGGTCCCAAATAGTCTATTGAGACGGGAAAATGCTGGTCGCCACCCGTCCTAGAATGCTTCTTCACTAAAGGTCAATTGGGACGAGTTCTTTTCACTGGTCGCTGAATGAGTTTAGAGACGGGATTACTGCTAGTCGCCAAAATACTTTGAAGATTGTATATCTCATCCCAAATAGAGGATTTTCTTCTTTGAAAACTAGTCATTTTCTCGTCATTAAATCCCTTTAGGGACTAGCAACGAACTTGCCCTAGATTGCTCTTTAGGGACGAGCAACTATCTCGTCCTAGATTACTTTTTCTTGATGAGCAACCACGTCGTTTTAGATTGTTCTCGCGACTAGAAACACCTCGTCCTAGATGATATTTTAGGGACAAGAGGTTGTCTAATCCTAGATGAAACTTTTAGAGACAAGAAACTATCTCGTCTTAGATGATATTTTAGAGACGAGCAAAATTTTTGGTCTCTAACTGATTATCAGTACTTCTGGAACTTCATTTCACTAAAATAATATAAATTTCATCAATAAATATAAGATTTCTACGGCAAATCTCCATACAAAAGGCTGATATAAAATAAAAAATAAAGGTAAACATCCCATGGTGTTAAGTTTCAATATTTGTTTAACAAAAAAACGGTTAGCAAATTAACAATATCTCAAGAAAAATAATAATAGTCTTGTGCATCTTCTATACTTGCATCTTGACTTGTAGCTTCAATCTTCACAAAAGTACACCGAAATTCACCAAGGATTATCCAAAAATATTAACGAGCTGCAAGAACATATAAGAAAAATTGAGTAAGAAAACTTTGATATTGTATCCCAAGTCTTATAAAATGACTACAGATTACATTTATTATAAATGCATTAAATCCCAGACAGCTGTAGACTACATTAATTCACTGTGTATAGTTCTGCAGAAAATTAAAAAACATGCGCACACAGTTGTACAAAACTAAAAAAACAGAGGAAAAAGATGTGTGGATGCTATTGTATTTGTATAAAATGGAAACAATACAGATTAAGAAGGTTGTAATCTTTTAAACAATTCTATTTCCGGCGAAGATACCGCTACAGCCGCCTAAACAGAGTTTCTAATTCGCTGCTTCAAAATTTCAGCAAATACAAGCTCAATCCTTATTCATTCGTAAAATGGCAAACAGTCGCACTATTGTTCTCACACAGACATCTCAAAACTGAGCAACTCGCACTTTCATGGATTACGAGTAAATAAGTTATACAATGGATGGAATTTGTGCGTTGTAGGCGAAGAAACTCAAGGAATTGAACCCAGCAATCATAGAAATCAGTTACGACATCTCATATCATTACAATTTCATAGATGACCTTGCTGATATGAGTGCATTAGTGTATGATCACTCAATACAGGCTTACCTCCCCTATGACCAGCAGTGTATAAAACAGAAAACATTGCAACACTTGAAAATTGGCATCGCAGAGATAATATATCTTAAAGGCTAGTTTCTGTATACCATTTTCACTTAATTTTCTGATAGCTTTTATGAAGAGAAGAGTTGTCGATTGGAAGATTCATGTCAGGAGTAAAACTCTACGTATAATACGCCTCTTTTCCCTGAAATTCAAATCCTATCTGCAGAGCTACAAGTGGGAAACCAACTGTTGTCGGAATTGAACCTATACTGGTGTTGCAATTCAAATCATGGATGTATAACTATGCAGAGTTAGTTCTGTAAATTGAGCACTTTAAACTTGCTAATAATTTTATCTCTCAGCTACTTGTAGTGGATATAGAAGTTCCTCTTTCCCTGTTTTATCAACCAAATCAGCATCTTTACTAGAATCTACTTAACGGAACTAGTCATCATTCTGCTGAAACATTAAATTTTCCACTTCACAGGGAAAAGTTTCAGTATCTTGTTCATGACAGATCCCAAAAAGCAATACAGTTTTCCATCATCAATCCAACAAACAAATAATAACCTGATATGTATCATGATCATAACACAAATATGTCAAAAAACCACCAGTTAAGAGAAGATAATCACAAGTGAAGAATTCCTTTAAATAGACATATCAATAATAATACAAAAGCTGATGGAAACCATGTCAATTATCAATCTATCGTCTTCTAGTTTCAAAAAGGATATGCTATATGTTCATTCCTCTCTTCATTAGTTTCATAAGAGTTCAGCCATACACTAACTGCTTAAACAACTATCCACAAATAGAGTTTGGTAAATTGTTACTTGATCAGCAAAAGAAGTCAGTGGTCATTCAGTTGATATGGGTGATGTCATATGCGGGTTATGAGATTGTTGAGCAGCAAAGAATTCTTGCATTTTTCTTATTTCTTTCATCTCATCTTCTAAGGTAGACAAGCGATCATTCAAGGATTTGTTTTTCTCATTCAAAAATTTATTTTCCTCTTTCATTCATCTTCTAAGGTAGACAAGCTATCATTCAAGGATTTTTATTTCTACCTGAGACAGTAATTCAGTCTTTGAAAAAGTGCCACATCTCATGTCATTTGCCTTTACTGGCCACCACCAAAGCCAAATACAAGGCTACGAGTTTGAGGTCCACAACACTTTCAACAGATCCCATAATAATTTTAAGTAATTTACATATGAATTTACCAAACGCACATGTTTTTCAATAACTTCTGGTTCAACAAGCATGTTATCTTTCTTACGAGTCTCGAAGAAAATAGTTGCCAAATTTGGCAGATTGCCATCTTTTCCGCCCTTTACATCACAGAGAAAACATGTCAAATAGCACTTCTTAAATATTTTCTTTAGGAATGTAATTTTTCGATAATACCTCTGATAAATAATCTCTCTAATAGGCTTGCTAAATATGATGATACATCTTTAACTTAGCTCGATTTTAAACTTTAATAACTAAGAAAATTACAGAGTTAAAAAAGAAGTTTCACATCTAAATATCACGTTGAGTTGCAAAATGGATGCTTCGAAAATATAGACTATTAGATCACTAGGCATACCTGAAAACTTTCGGAAAAAAAATATTCCTTAACTAACCACTCCCATTCCTTCTTTTCGACTCCCTTTGGAATATTCTTCAGAGCCTGAACGATTGGCTTATTTTTCACATAAGTAGCATGCAAGTATCCTCTCCATTTGTTCCATAACTCATTCATCCATCCAAATATATGGTCTCGATGATCATTCAAGTCAACACTCTCAAATTTATCCTACAATAATTAAAAAGTGAGTTTAAATAAAAAAGGAGAGTGAACATTGTCGGTCAAATATACAAAAGTATGTATTAATGGTTGTAATTCACTAGTGTAGTCTTATTAGTATACATCCTTCGTTTTATCTTTATGATTAGCTGATTAGATTTATGTAATAATTAACCGACAACACAAAAAACCAGAATATAAAGACAATGATGATGTAATTAAAAATTGGAACCATAATAGCTGCCCACATGTGATCTAATTTATGTTGCTTAATTTCACTCCACGATGATACTCCCAGTGGACACATATTACAGTCACGAATAACTTTTCCCAAGTGCCTTGAAAACAGGTTTCTATTTGTTCCAACCGTTCGATTATTGTAAAATGTTGCTTTCAACCTCTTTCCAGCTTCAAGTGATGCAACTTCTTTACACTTGTTTCTCCCTCGAACTCTTTTTACCTTTCTAGGATTAGATGATCCTATAATTGTATAATTTAGTAGAACTGTTGCAATAAAATTTAATTTTACAGATAGATAGTGCATCGATTCGTAAATTTTCATACCTGTTTCAGTTGTTTGGGAAGGCTACATAACTTGATCAATAGAACTAGGGGATTTGGCTTGTGTGTTCTCTTTCTCAAGGACCAGGGTATTTTTATCGATGGATGGCAATCCTTGACTAGATTTCACAACATTTTCAGAAACTCCTAAAGATGAGCATAAAGATCTAGATGTTTATTTTCTGTTATATATGGGATAAGAAACAGAAGTTTTAAAAAAATACTTGTTTCGACTTCTTCGGTACATGTCTTTACTTGATTAGTAAATGAACGAAAGGGATTAGGAACTTGACTACAAGACATGGTGGAGTTTTTATGTCTAGTTCCTCGTCCCTTACCAATAGCACTTGCAGAAAACAAATCACTTTTATTTTAATTCAATTTCACTGTGAATATTTGACAAAGTATTGTATTGAATGTAAATTAATTCTACAAAAATTAAGGCCTCAACTCGTGAGACTTGACATTACAAGGAATATGGATAAAATTAGCAACAAGAGCACGAGTCATGAAAAAACATACTTGTTTCAACATCATTGATGTATTGCTTAGCTTGCTTGGTAGTTGGATGAAATGAAGTATTAACTTGCATATACTCTTTCTCAAGAAACATATTGGACTTCTCATTTATTGCTCTCTTTTCATGACTAGAAGACATTGGGACGTTGGTAAGTTGTTGTTGTCGTCCCTTCTCAATAGCACCTGTAGAAAAGTAACACTCATCGATAAATTGATAGAAGATATGTATATATATGCAATAAAGAACTCCACATACATTCAAAAGCTTACTTGTTTCAACTTCTTGGATGTATTTCTTAACCAGATCACTAGATTGAAATAATGAACTCTTAGTTGAAAATTTTCCTTTTGATGTCAAAGATTTAAGCCCTCGTCCTCTTCCTCTTCCAATTGCCCCAGGCGCAACAAATGAGTATCTAATAGTACTCTTCATAATTGATCCATACTCATTTTTAGTTTTCATATCGAACCTGCAAAGGATAGAATCAAAGTAATGAAGAATAAAAATTTTAACAGTAAGTTATTATCAAGAATCAAAAGGAGAAATCAATCTCGTGATCGCCTCCTCCCAAACAAGAATCAAGTGCCACAATGTAGTAATAAAAATAATCATGTCTTATAGTTCAGAAAAGATACTTAACCTCATCGATCTGTTGTTTTTCGTTTCTTTTGTGAAGGACTTTCTAAGTCAAGTACAACATCTTCATCATCCATTCGTTTCCCCATCTCATAGGAATCACGAGGTTGAGTCTTCCTCACTACATGCTAACCTTTGTTGGAATTATCACTAGCATAAAACACTTGAGATGCTTGGTTCGCTAAAACAAAAGGCTCATTTGTTTTCAAAAATCTACTATGATTCACACTCACAAAGTCATACTCATCTCTTTTAATTCCTTTTATTTTGTCATACACATCAAACCAGTTACAACGAAACAAAATCACCCTTCTATTCGAGATAAATAGCAATTCAATCACATCTGTTAAAATTCCATAGTAATCAACATTCTCAACTATATTTATCATTCTCGCCAACTACAACAACATCACAATTTTGAGTCCTTAACAATGATCATGATCTTCTATATGAAATTTGTATCCATTGACAATGTAGCCATTAGAATGTGTTGAATATTTAGTAGGACCACGTGAAAGTGAGGGAAGATCTTCCATGAGATGACTATTATCTGTTTTATGCAATTGTGCAACCTAGAAACAAGATAACATTGAATACTTTAGAACGATTAGTTAAGAGTTAAGATATTGAATCTGTTGTTTATATATTTCTCACCTATTTTTAAACCATTCAATAAATTCTCGATCCCATTCTGTATCTGACAAGTTTTGAGCAGTATCTATATGATTTTGTGCAAACTCTCTACAAAATTGAGGTTAACCATAAATTTCATGTAGAAACGATATCACCCTAAAGGAAATAAGAAATGTAAGACGATATAAAAGAACTCTCTATACTCAAGATATGGTATGACTTCATCACAATTCTTCAGAATGTATATATGTGCTTGTTCCAACACATTAGCTTCAAGCTCACATGAAACTTTAGCTCCCAAAATTTTTCCAGGTTGGCAAAATATAGATAAACCCTCATTTGATGTTTTTAAGCCCCCATCATAATTTCTTTCAGGTCGATTGAATTTTGTGTCAATTTTATGCAGATACCTTGAACATAAGGTCATGCATTCATTTGCAATGTAGCCCTCTGCAATAGAACCTTCTGGACATGCCCTATTACCAATGAGAGATTTCAAAAAATATAACCATCGCTCAATAGGATACATCCACCGATAATGAATAGGTCCAGCAATTTCAAGTTCACCTGCTAAATGAATTGGCAAGTGCACCATCACATCAAAAAAAGAAGGAAGAAGACCTTTTCTAACTTGCAAAGTATTATGGGAATTTGTGCTTCAATATGTTTCAAGTCATCAATCCTCAATTCTTTTGCTCCATGAACACAAAAAAAAATTGATAACTCAATAACACGTTCACACACTTGTTTGGACTGCATACCACGAAGAGCAAGAGGAAGTATATGTTGCAAAAGAACATGACAATAATGACTTTTTAATCCAAATATCTTGTGATCTTTCAAGTTTACACATTGAGAAATATTAGATGAAAACCCATCAGGGACCTTTAAATTCTTCAAGGAAAGACATAACTTATGCTTATCTTCAGGCGACAATGTGTAGCACGCAGTTGGAACTTCAACTTTCTCCTCTCTTTGGATAGGGTGCAATTCTGGCCTTAATATTCATCTCCTTCAAGTCTAACCGAGTGTTAATTGTGTCCTTTGTCTTTCCTTTGACATTCATGATTGTCCCTATAATATTATCGCATATATTTTTTCTCAATATGCATGACATCCAAATTATGTCGCAACAAGAGAGATTTCCAATATGGAAGTTCAAAAAAGATACTTTTCTTGTTCCAATTATCCTTTCGCTTTTCATGTGATATCTTCCTCTTTTACTTAGGATCCTTTGTTAATGGTTGCCCTCAAGATCTTGCACTTGATTAAGTATATCAACTCCAGAACATGTTTTCTGTGGGAGCCTTTTCTCTATTGTATCATCAAATGACTTTTTGTCATTCCTCCATCTGTGATCCTTGGGAAGGTAACGTCGATGACCTATAAAGCACTGTTTCTTACAATTAGTCAATCAAATTAAGGATGTGTCTTTATTACAAGATGGACATGCCAATTTTCCTTTTGTACTCCATCTTGATAAATTTTCATATGCTGGAAAATCATTGATAGTCCACAACAAAGAAGCATTCAACTTAAAATTTTGTTTAGTTGATGCATCAAAGGTCTCAATACCAACTTCCCACAACTCCTTTAGTTCCTCTATCAGAGGTTGAAGATATGTATCAATTGCATCTCCAGGACCATTTGGACCAGGAATAAGCATTGACAAGATAAAATTTTCTTGTTTCATACACAACCAAGGTGGTAAGTAATAAGGAATAAGAACCACGGGCCAAATGCTATGTGAGCTTTTTGAATTGCGAAATGGCTGAAATCCATCACTAGTAAATCCAAGTCGAACATTATGGGGTTCGGTTGCAAATGAAGGGTGATGTTCATCGAATGGCTTCCATGCCATTGAATCAGCTGAGTGCCTCATTATTCCATCATTAATTCTTTCATCCTTATGCCATGTTTGTTATGTCTTTGTAGACATAAACAACCTTTGAAGCCTAGACTTTAATGGAAAATAACGCAAACTCTTTGAGGCTATCTTTTTACCCTTTTTATTCCTTGTTTTCCCGGTATGTTTATTCATTTTCCATTTTGCAAGAATCAAGTAAGCTATCCTCCTTCCAATATAACATGCAATCATTAGTACAAGAATCAATTTTGTTGTAAGAAAACCCAACATTTTTAATAACATGCTAAAAGACTCATTACTCCAACGGCCCATAGTCTTGATGTGAAACAATTTAATCAAAGATGAAAGCCTTTGAATTTTGGTATAGTGGCTGCTCCAAATCCTTTAATAAGTTGTAAAATCTTTTAGCTTCAACATTTGGCTCCTCCTCAACTACATCTTAATAACTAGTGTAGGTGGACGCTTCATCAACATTAGCATATAAATCTTTCAACAATTCATGTGCTTCATCTTCACTCTCATAACCTTCTACTTCATCATCAGTTTCATCTTTAGAATTTGACACGAGCTCACCTAAATGATCTCCGTGGTGATACCAAAAAGTATAATTTTGAATTATTCCATATACTTTCAAATGTGTATCAATCGTCTCACGAGTTCCTAATGTTGTATTATAACATTTGTAACATGTACATCGTATTTCATCCTGTTTTTTAATCTCTGAAAAGCATAATCCAAAAACTTTTACACACCATCTAAATAGGCTTGGTCGACCCGATTATAAGAGAAAGTTGCATCCATTTCTTACAAGGTGCCATAAACTTGGAGAATACATAAAAGAGATTAAGAAAATATGAACGATAAGAAAAAGCGTAAGATGCGCACAACTTGTGATTCTGTAACCAGTACTTAAGGAATTAGTTGCATGTAACTACACATTTGGATCAGTTTTAATAAATGTAACCACTTTCCAGCTTGCTCTATCAGCCTTAATAGGTAAACAATAGTTCACTTGTATTTTAGAATAGATTTCTTTAGTTGAATAACTCCCTCTATATTCTCTTTGAACATTGTCTTAATTCATAATCTGAGTGTCTGTTCAATAATAGTTCACTGTTCAGTTTCTTTAGGACAAAAATAGCGATTCAGTTACACAAAAATGAAAGAATATATGGTGCAACTATTAGAATGTATCTTAAAATTATCGAGTTTGCAATGTTTTGAAGCCCAAATGAAACTATTACTGTTTCAACCTACTATAAAAACATATACAAGAGTTAATTTGCATCAATTCTATTATACTTCTTTCATCTTTCATTAGCTTAAGTTAATTTCATTGTGAAAATATGATCGATTCTTTGGCACATACTATACACTATTATGTAAGAAGGAAAGAATCAACAAACCAGATTTAGAGAAGAAAAAAACAACCCGCAAAAGAGGAGAAATAACTGAGATACATGTCTACAGAAATAAGAGATAGATCCCCTTCATTTTTGGGATCATAACACACTATAAAATTGAATCTGTTTTACAATAATGATCAGCAGCTAGTGTGAGCGAACAAAAGTAACTTAAAAAAGAAGAGTTATATATAACTCGAACAAATAAAACACAAATCAGCTTTATAGAAGGAAATAAATCAACTGGAAGAAATGGCGTAATACCTGAGATTCGAGTGAATAGAAGATAAAGATTGAGTTGAGATCGGAGCTAGGCAGACCTATGCTTTCTTTGTCCTGAAAAATCACAGATGAAACACTTAAATCAAGTTGTTGTGTCTGTTTCTAGGCAGACCTGTGCTTTCTCTATTTCGATAAATAAAAGATTTTCAGTTGAGAGTTACTGTTAGATTTAAAAAGAAAAAAACAACTCGCAAAGAGGAGAAATAACTGAGATACAACTAGAAGGAAATAAGTGAACCTGTTAGAAAAAATAGATTAATAATGTTTAACAAACTGTTAGAATGTATCTTCCTGAAAGATATCAAGTATTCCAAGTTTCAGACCCAAACGAAGTTATCACTTTTTCAACCTTCTATGTGCATCACCACATGAGGTCATTCGCATCAGTTCTATTTTGTTTTACATCTTTTATTAGTTTTTAGAACCAAACAAAACTATCAATTTTTCACTTTTCCAATAGTAGCATACATCAATCAGTTTTCTCACATGCAATGTTAGGCTTAAAAGATTAAAAACGATTCACTTGTAATTCATAATGGATTTCTCAACTTGAACACAACTCTATCGATATTGATCATATTGTTTTAAGTCATCTAGTTGTTAATGCCTCTTTTCAAGCTTAGTATATTGTTCTTAACCTTTAGAACAGTTAGTTCTTTAAGGATAGACCTCCTTTATTTTTGGGAGATACACACTATAAAACTTAATCGGTTTTTTTACAAATAATGATTAGCGGCTAGCGTGATCAGCGAACAAAAGTAACTTAAACAGGAATAGTTATAACTTGAACAAAACAAACAACAAATCAGTTTAATCGAAGGAAACAAATAATTGGAAGAATGGAGTAATACTGAGATTCGAGTGAATAGAAGATAGAGATTGAGTTGAGATCGGAGCTAGGCAGACCTGTGATTTCTTTGTCCGAAAAAACACAGATGAAACACTGAAACCAAGTTGTTGCGACTGCTTCTAGGCGACATGTGCTTTCTCTATCTCGATAAATAAAATATTTTCAGTTGAGAGCTACTCTTAGATTTAGAGAAGAAAAAAACAATCACAAAGAGGAGAAATAACTGAGATACAACTAGAAAAAAATAAGTGAACCTGTTAGAAAAAATGGATTAATAATGTTTTAACAAACTGTTAGAATGTATCTTCTTGAAAGATATCAAGTTTTCCAAGTTTCAGATCCAAACAAAACTATCACTTTTTCAACCTTCTATGTGCATCACCACATGAGGTCATTTGCATCAGTTCTATTTCATTTTATATCTTTTATTAGTTTTTAGAACCAAACAAAACTATCAATTTTTCACTTTTCCAATAGTAACATACAACATTCAGTTTTCTCACTTGCTTGTTAGGCTTAAAAGCTTAAAAACAATTCACTTGTAATTCATAATGGATTTCTCAACTTGAACACAACTCTCTCGATATTGATCATATTGTTCTAGCTCGTCTACTTGTTAGTTCCCCTTTTCAAGTTTAGTTTATTTTCTTAACCTTTAGGAACACTTAGTTCTTTAAGGATAGATCCCCTTAATTTTTGGGATCATAAAACTGCACTATAAAACTGAAACTTTTTTTACAAATAATGATCAGCAGCTAGTGTGATCAGCGAACAAAACTAATTTAAACAAGAAGAGTTATAACTTGAACAAACAAACAACAAATAGGCTTAATCAAAGGAAACAAATAAACCGGAAGAAGTGGAGTAATACCTGAGATTCCAGTGAATAGAAAATAGAGATTGAGTTCAGATGGTGCTAGACAGACCTGTACTTTCTTTGTCCTTAAAAAACACAGACGACACACTGAAACCAAGCTGTTGTGACTGCTTCTAGGCCGACTCGTGCTTTCTCTATTTTGAGAAATCAAAGATTTTCAGTTGAGAGCTACTCTTAGATTTAGAGAAATAAAAACAACTTGCAAAGAGGAGAAATAACTAAGATACAACTAGAAAAAAATAAAAGAACATGTTAGAAAAATGGATTAATAATGTTTTAACAAACTGTTAGAATGTATCTTCTTGAAAGATATCAAGTTTTCCAAGTTTCAAACCTAAACGAAACTATCACTTTTTCAACCTTCTATGTGCATCACCACATAAGGCATTTGCATCAGTTCTATTTCGTTTTACATCTTTTATTAGTTTTTGGAACCAAACAAAACTATCAATTTTTCACTTTTCCAATAGTAACATACAACAATCAGTTTTCTCACTTCTCTTTAGGCTTAAAAGCTTAAAAACGATTCACTAGTAATTCATAATGGATTTCTCAACTTGAACACAACTCTCTCGATATTGATCATATTGTTTTAGCTCGTCTACTTGTTAGTTCCCCTTTTCAAGTTTAGTTTTTGTTCTTAACCTTAGGACACTTAGTTCTTTAAGGATAGATCCCCTTTATTTTTGGGATCATAAAGCACTATAAAACTGAATCTTTTTGTATAAATAATGATCAGCAGCTAGTGTGATCAGTGAACAAAACTAACTTAAACAAGAAGAGTTATAACTTGAACAAAACAAACAACAAATCAGCTTAATAGAAGGAAACAAATAAACAGAAAGAAGTGGAGTAATACGTCAGATTCGAGTGAATAGAAGATAGAGATTGAGATCGGTGCTAGACAGACCTGTACTTTCTTTGTTCTGAAAAAATACAGATGAATGACTGAAACAAGCTGTTGCGTCTGCTTCTAGGCAGACCAGTGCTTTCTCTATTATGAGAATACAAAGATTTTGAGTAGAGCTGCTCTTAGATCGCTGTATTGTGGAGATCGTTCTTAGGAAAAATCGTTGCTAGGGTTGTTCTATTTCACGTTATGTTTTGAGAAACAGAGGTATTTTATTTTTTTTATTTCCTTTTACAATTTTAATCAGTAATGGACATTTTGGCGCCAAGTTTTGGTGAAAATAGATTATTTTTTTTAACATTTCAATACTTTCCCGCCTTCATAAATTTCTCAAGACCCCTAAATTTTATATTGGGACCAGTTTATACTTTCTCTAGAGACCACATTTAGTACCTTCACAATAACACAAGAAATTAAAGACCGGATTAAATTCTCGTCCCAATACATACACCTTTAAAGACGAGATTATTAACTCGTCCCTAAATATTGGTCTTAAATAAAGCTTTTTCTTGTAGTGTTAGGAACATTCGTCCTCGAATGACATTTTAAACACTTTAAGGAGATAATGACTCAAAACTAGCAGCCCAACAATCATGACACATAATGCATAATCATAGGAGGAGACATCAACTCCACATCAATAAGCTCAATGGATATACAAGAAAGTCGGAACTACTTCTACAAGCTCATTAT